AGCCATGTTGAGATGTAATCGTCATAAGAACGCCGGCGTCGTGGAACTTTGGTGGATTTGCACCCCACCGCCAGGGACGACGGGTTTGCCCAGACTCGTGATGCCTTTGGTCGAAGGAGTCACTTTGGGCGAATGGGTGTCGCGTTATAGCAGGCGTTCAAAGCCAACCACCCTCAGGGTTGTGCTGCAATTGGTAGAGGCCGTTCAACATCTTCACGATACCGTGAATATCGTGCACGGTAACTTGAGTTGGAAGAACGTCGTGATTAACGTTGCACGCAACTATCATCTGACTTTGATCGACTTTGGAAACGCCCGAGACGCGGCCAAGGGAAAACGACGATTGTGGGTACACGGAAATTGTTTTTTTTTTCTCCGCCGGAGGCTTTATGCAGACGCCCGTGCGATCAGACCACAGCCGAATTGCACGTTCTCGGCGTCCTCTTGATATGCATCGCTCGCGGCAGAACTCAAGGATTGTGCGAGGCACCTCTAACGTTCGAAGACGGAAGAGACCGAGGTGAAAAGAGCGCCATATCCTGCCTTGTTCAATTTTGGGGAAGGGGGAGGCTGTATCCGTACTGGAACGATTTTCTTGGGATAACTGGCGACGTGTTAGAGACGATCTCAGGAATGGCAGGCGCGACTTTATCTGACGATATCAGTGTGATAGGATTACAGTTGGCTCATCCAATCCCTGACTCTCGCCAGTCTCTCGCAGATGCGTTACGTAATTTAACTAACTTGAATACGATTGGTCAATAAAGAATATATAAGCGATTGAATCTGTATTCTTATATTTTATTTTTGCTTTGAACGGCAATAGAAAGGAGCAAGCATAAAAACCGAGATGAAAGTTGTCCATGGAGCACCTCCATCTTATCGGGACGAGATGGATAAATTGAACGTTCGCAAGAGCGTTCGACGAGATTTGGACAGGGGTTTTTCCGTGGCCATAGATTCTCGTTGGGACGATTCTCTGAACGCGCTCGTCTTTACCGTAGTAACACCGTACGGCGAGAAATCGCAAATGACCTTGACAAATACAGACGTGCCTCGCCGTATCTCCAACATGTGCCCGGTGGTTCAAGATCCGACCCTGCTAACTCGCGACCCGTCTACGCCAAGTGAGCTACTGGGGCAGTTTTTTCTCGACCCGACCCGAGTGGCGGAACACGTCAGAAAGCGAGGCATCAAACCTTACGATTATGTCAACAAAGCCATTCATGATATTGAGTCGTTACCGGGAGGTTACGTCGGTGCTCAATCGAGCGGAGAATGTTTGTCCAAGTTCGACTGCATGCAAAGGACGGCCACTGCCGTCTTCAGTTACGACATCGCCACGCCCAAGTTTGGAGCTGACGGTGCCAGCGCGGCCATCATTACTGGGGATGCGGCAGAGGTGTGGAACTTTTTTTGGATTGGCCAAGATGCCTTTGCAGGACAGTCTACTAGAGGTATTTTGCAGCGCGATTGGCGTCAAGCCGGATGACTCGTTGGAGAAGCGGATCAACAGCCCCATGAAGCGTAGCAGAGAAGTCCCGCTATTTCAAGTGACCGATACGAAAAAGCAAGGATTGGATTTCACCAGCATTACAAATTTGGTGGTGCTGACCATGAACAGTATCCCTTGTATCTTAAACGACACTTTTTTGAGGCAGATCAATACAGTCTTGAGCAGCGTCTATCCTCTGAAAGAAGAACCAATCGTGCCCGGTTCCATCTTTCACGCCGTTAGCGAGAAACATCGCGATGGACTCGGTCAAGATCAAGTGACGACACTGGGTAGCATGGTTACCCATGATCACTTCAATAACACCATGAGGCTTGCCCGAGAATCGAAGGGCCGGGTCGAAAGTTGCGTCAGTTACCACCGTCACTTGGCATGCCTTGTTTGTGGACAAGATCTGACCTCGAACGCTTCTTTGCTGCAAGAGGTTACCGATCCTAAAATGATTCACTGTGGGGTTGCCGTTCACAACGCGGGAAAATTCGTGACGACCCAGACGAAGGCTACTCGCCGATCATACAGCCTCGACTGCGTTCGAAGAGTCAAAATTCTGGGCAAGGACTGGCCCCAGTTCGATAAAGGCCAAGGAAGATTTGGAATCTTGACGAAGGACGAGACCAAGTGTATTTTTGAGCGCCCTTGTGTGATCAGCGAATGCCTCCGTCCCATGGTGCTCCCTGATATTGGTAACCAACGCAGCAAGTACGACAACGTGTCCTCTACGGTGTACGTGTTGGTCCCGTTTGATCGACAAGCCACCCTGGAGCGCTTGAAAGAGGAAGGCGTTCAAGATCCACAGGCGAGCTTGTTGACGCTTCACAATGTCGTGGAATGCATCGTTCCCATTTACTCGAGTTCTGAGGGTTTGGTAGAGTACCGATGCGAAGCTCTGGCATTTCGCGGCAAACACACCATCTCGGTACAAGCATACGGAAAGACGCCCATGGGAGATGTTCCTCTCTACGATCCAGAGTCCACCACCAAACGATTGTCCATAGAAATGTTGGGAGAAGATGGCAAGGTGAGACTGCACCAATACAAGCACCAACTGGAATACAATCGAAAGAGATACTTTCAGACGCAAGGGACGATGCTCAGCATCACCAATTTTAAGCAATACAAGATCCCCGCGCCCGAGGGTGTAAAGCCCATAAAAGAGCGCACCAACTGGGACAAGTACGGTTACACACTGGTCGGCGCCTTGGCTGCCAACTTTACTCGGGCCCATTATGCCGGCAGACCTCTATTACCTCCGGAGCGCTTGCAGTTTGGCGTCGTTTCAGACACCCGGGAACAGAAAGCGAGGAGCGACAAGCGCAAGTTGGATGCCGAAACAAAGGAAGAAATTGTTCGATTGCGCAAAGCCTTGGAGAAGGAACGCGAACGCACCTCTGAGCTATCAATGGAGTTGAGAATGGCCGATCTGAGATTTGAATTAAACGACATGTGCAACCAAGAGGAAAGGAGACGAATCGAAGAACTCGAAAAAATGAACGAAAAGATTCTTGAAGACTATTCTGCCCTCGAAAATGCCAAGAACGAGCAAATACGAAACCTCGAGGCAAGTTTGGATGCTTGTAACATGAAATTGAAGAAGCGAAAGAGAGTCAAGCGACTAAAAGTCAGACCAACAAAGAAACATTTTAACAATAAAAAGCCTGACGTGGTCAAGGTACACCGACAACAGGAGGGGCCTGTTCTTTCGTGGTTACCAGAGTATGATGCAGCAGTATTAGCAGTGTAAAAACAAAAAGAAAATCAACCCAAAGAAAAATAAAAACGACATCATTGAAAGACTTTGTTTGACTTTATTGCATCGCCCTCAGTCTATCTAATCGAGAACATAACAGTTTGACTCAACGACCAAGACGAACAATGCCTTAAATAGTTACAACAATATTTTTTTGTGAGATCAAAATAAAACATCCGAATAATAACTGAACAAAAACGCTACGAACGAAACTCGAATGTCATCATTTTCTTTTTACACCAGGGATTGAAAAATCTAACTTGTCATTAACTCAAAGAAACAAGATGACCGCTTCCTCGGTCGTCTTGGATAAGAGTCTCTTGTGTTACTTCCACAGAGTGGTCGTCGAATCCGGCTGTGTCAAAGTCACTAGGTCTTAACATTCCCAGAATATTGTCTATGCGATCCATCGTTTCTCTAGACGGTGCCTCAATGTCAGTGTCTCCGTCGGTCGGCTCGACTTCTCCTAGTTGCTTATGTCGTTTCAGTCTCGCGTATCCAGGTCGGTCTGAAATAAGTGCCGGTATCCTTGCAACTTCAGAGAGAACTTTAGACGTTTCGCGAATCCCCGTGCTGCGAAAAAATCTGTCATAGCAAATGTCATACAAAGAATCCTCGTGGTGCATGGGATGAATCAATCGAAGCGGCCTGAGCAAATGTTTGCGATAAATCTTTTTAACGCGGATCATATTCTTTCCCTGTTCTTGTTTTTTGCCCTTGCCTACTCTTCGACGTTTTCTCCTCGGAGTGGTCATGATTAAGAAGTCAGCTGTCCCGATCGCCTTAATGCTTTGAATGTGGTCTTGACCTTGTGGAAGAAACGATCAAAGTTTTCGCGCTTTGAAATGCTGATAAACTCCGGCGATTTGTGAAAAGCATCGTATATTTCCTGTTTGCCAGGGCACCTTCCATTCAAGGATTCAACATACTTGACGATCAATGTAGTGTCCTCTGGAGGCCATCTGCGTCGAAGACGAGGTCGGCGAACGCCAGGTAGAGACGTCGAAGACAGAACTGATACTGGTGCCACGGAGACCTCCGTTGTATCGATCGCCATCGTTGACGGATGGGGTGGATCTGGAACAAAAACAATTGTCGGAGGCTCTGAAGTTTGTGGCGACACGGGCATCGGAGGCTGTGGGGTTGGTAATGACACCGGTGGCGATGGCTCTCGAGACGGTGCACTTTCCCTTTCGGTGCTACTGGTTGCAGTGCCACTAGGTGTGGTCATAGAATGCATCCCGTTGTCTTCTTGTTGTATCCCTTCTCTAATGCGTTGAATGGTGGTGTGTGTTCGCGCTCCCAGAGAAGTCAGATCTTCTCTCATGTACCAGATAGCGGCAGTCTTTTGAGAGTGAGCCAGCAACTTTCGTAGGTCGTTATCGGCAATGCATTCGCGACCGGTCTTGCGTCTCTCTTCCTTGTTTGCCTCTTCCACCATGGTTACGATGGCTTTTCGAAAGTCTGTGCAAGTGACGCGAGCCCCTTTTCGGACTCCCGACTTCCTCCACAGTTCACTGACGCGGTTTCCTATTGTACCCTGTTCAAAGGGCTCTCCGTCGATCTTGAGAAACAAGTGTGTCTCCTCCGGAGAGGCGACAACCGCGGGTCGTATTTCTCGAATATAAGTGTCGATAAACCCGTGAAGCCTCTCGTCCATCACGTGACGATGGCCGGTCCGTCCATCTGCCGCTTATGTTTTGGTACAAGCATAACATAACAATCCGGGTAGTTGACATCTCGGCGGGCATGTTTAAAGTGTTCCAACGTGGCCGTTTCCAGTGCTTTTGGGGCGCGTGCCGCACGATACTGCCAGGCGGGCGATGAGATAGTCTCGAGCTCGTGAAAAGCGCTGGATCCTCGACGGTTGCCGTCCGCGCCAAAGAGAGCCTCCGCCTCGGCCACAACGGGTGATCTCAAAAATGCTTGAAGGTCTTCTCGCGTGATGCGTTGCTCGCACTCCTGGAGATAGTGTTCGTTGCGCAGCACCGCACTTTGTTTCAGAATGATGGATCGCCATCCCTGGAGCTTTCCAGTGATCTCATGCAGGACGTCTACGGTTTCGTCCGATAGCCGCGGTGTTCCATCGACGAGACAACGACGTTTCTGGGTTTGAACGACAAATTTCAAAAACTTCTTGAAAGAGCCCATGTATGACATCAGGGTACCAGCTGTGATGGACGTTTGATTTTCGAGACGCGGAGCCACCCATAGATTCCACACGGCTCTTCCTTCCTCGGTAGCTATCACTGCAATGTCTTTGCCTCGTGGGTCCATGTCTTCCAGAATCTTTCGCATTTGACAGGCATGTTGACAGCGAGTCTTTTCGTCTTTAAGACCCTCGTCGATACTGCCCAGATGATCGTAAAACTTTACGAGGAACCAATGACGATCAGAGGTGATGCGTTGTGACAGATAGAATGCCTTTGCACCTTCCCCTGGGTAGTCTTCCTCTTCGTCGCCATCGTCGTCTTCGTCGTCGTCCGATTCTATACGAACGGATGTTGCCGCCGATGGCGGTAGCTTATAAGGCTCGTATGGTAACGACATCTTCATAACATCGTCCAACTTAATATCGTTTCTGATTTTATGTTTGTTTTTTAGATGGTTTCGCAAGTAGGGCGTGAGAAATGAGCAGCCTTCCACCGGACACCAACGAATCAACAACCGATTGGATCCCTTCGTTTCCTTCCCCTTGCTGACCATTTGCGCGATAGCGTTCGCTTCTAGGGAATCAACGTCCTCGCGGTGTTTCTTGGCTTTCAAGTGTCGCGGAAGGTCCCCTCCATAATACGTGCAGTCGGAAATTGGACAGTGAAGAAACTTGTGGTGTTCTTGTTTACTCATTTTTGGCTGTGCGAGCTGACTAACTGCTCGTTGCGGGTGGTTAGAATAACTCGTTCTTCCCCGTTTTATCTAGTGGTAAAATCTACGTCACCTAATACGTGTTAAATTACTATTGATTCTCCCCGCATGTCCCTGACATACCAAAATTACGACGCAATGGATCAACGCAATAAATTGCGCGATTGACGTCGCTACCTACGTAAATCTGTTACGTAGAAAAATGTCCCTATAAAAATACTACCAACAGCCTTCTTCCGCACATCATGGCGTATGCTGACTCGCCGATACCGATAATTCTATTCAATTCAAAGAGGCTTTTCCATCATAGCAGTAAATTTATTAACAGCATGTACTGTATAGAATACCTTATTCGATCCTGCGAAGAAAATGTCGTCACCGATTTCCGATGTTCCTTCTATTCTTTACTGTGGCATCCCGGACGGAAACGAAGACGCCAAGGCAACACTTCTCCAATCTGGGTCTTTACAGGCGGGCTTGACGCGGTTGGTGGATGCCAGTGGAACTCTTAGGACTGTCAATCACGAAGACCACGTTGCTCACCGCGAGGTTTATGTCATCCAATTGGAGTGCATGTGGCCCAACGGAAAAGCTAGAGCAATCTTGGATCCCAAGCAAGGCACGACGAGTCTACGCAGCGACGGTTACGACGTGGCAATTCAGAACAAGCTTCGAGGGGGCTACCGCTTTGTGATACTCAACCCGTTTAAAACAGTGTATCGCATTTCGTTTTTATCGCCAAAATCTTCCTCGCCAGTCGTTGTTGCCTCGAGTTCAGACACGGATACCTCTTTGTATCGAAGGCGAGCAAAGAACGATCCACGAGAACCTCAAGACGAAGTGGATGCTCTTTTGTTAAAGCTCAATCCTTCTCGTAACCCTATAGACGAGTTTTCGGTCGAAAAGGTCGCATTTAGTTATCGACGGGATCAAGTCTGGGCCAAGAATCAGCTCGTTGCCATCCTCAGACGAGTGTGGAGAGATAATCTATCTGGACAGGAGTACTGCTGGAAATTCGTTCCGCTTAAGGAAGAATCGGTTCGTGATATCAGCCTTAAGGTGCTTTATTGGTCTTTTGGTAGGAAAGCTCCCAGAGCCGAGAGTGGACTCAGGGCCACACACATCGCTTCCCAGTTGAATCAAGATGACAACACTACGATATGCCTCAGACCCTCTCATCTTCATCTGACAGGCGCAGTTGATCCCACAACTTTAAAACAGACTGCAGACAGTTTATCGAGCCTCTTGGAACAGATGCGACTAGGGAATGGTGTATGATAAATTAAAAAAGAACCAATCATGACGTCCATTGTGCATTAAAAGCTTTATTGTCTTGTCATGAGCTAGTGCAAAAATTTATTCGCCGTCTTCTCTCGTTCGTTTCACACCTCTACTCCTTAGTCTTGTTTGTCTACCATCCTGTCTTAGAAACTCTTTGACTGTCGATACGGGGGGTCCTAGTCTCAGAGGTCGATATCTGTTCTTGACTCTATCCATCCACTGATCCGTAAGCGCTTCCACTTCGACTTGGACGGCCTTTTCTCGAGCATCGTAATTGCAGCCGTGAATGACAGCGCAACGATCTTCGATATCTTGCAGCTTTCCCGAACTGGCCAGGTATTTTCTTGTTAGGTACCTGGTCTCGTGTTGCGGTGGAAAAGTTGTGGCTATCTCACCTTTGACACCCAGGGTGCTCGGATGGCCCTCACGAGTCATGGCCAGACTGGCCGTGATAAAATCTTGCTCTTCTTTGGGGGGGGGCAGATCAAAGCGAGCAAGGTGACCGCCTTGTTCGACCTGACTTCGTCCACTTTGATCACGTCAAAGTAGATCCCTTGCCTCGTTTGTTGAAGCACAGCACCGTTTTGCGGTCTGTCAAATTTTCGCGCATACAGCGAGAAACGAATTGTCTGGTAAATCTGGAGACGTAGCCGTGGTTGTGCAAAACAAATCTTGAGTCGGGACAAGATAGATAGATGGAGCCACGCGCCCCGAATCAGTGCCGTCGAGATCTTGCTCGCATACCAGTGCGTCGGCCACTGTGGTATACTTTATGTCGATACCCGGCAGGTGCGCATCCTCGAGCGTTTTCAGTAGCCTTGGTTCTTGGCTTGCATTGAACGTCCAATATTCGATGGAATGGCCGGCACTGGGTCTAGAGTCTGGTGGAGTGCAAACTTGTCGCAATCGTTGCGCCGTCTCTTCCGTTATGCCCAGCCGGAGTATCGGCAGCGCTTGGTGTACATACACGGTAGAATCAGTCTTGTAAAATGGCAAAAGGATTCGTGTCGGGTCATTTGATCCCGCGACAGTTTCGAATGTATGACGCACTAGGACTTCTATTATTGTAGCGACTAGTACGGCACACTGGTTCATCTTATGCACCTTGACATATCCCTTATCCTGCATGACATTCCTAGGATCTTCGGAACACTGTAGCATCCAGTTGCGCATCAGCTTTAGCCGAGCATGATTAAAGTCACAGCTCACTTGAACGGACTTGGCGTTGGGAATAAAATTGGCGATGACTTTGTCGGCATAACGGGATGTCCACTTGTTGGGGTTAAGATGACTCAAAAATCCAAAGAACCGATTCTTGTCGACTCCGTAATGACTCACATCCAGCGTGATCATCTCGTTCGAAAACCTCGGGTCGTGCGTGCAGTTGGGACCTAGTTCATTCACTACCGTCGTGATTCTATTCTGAATATCGTCAGTTAACTGAGTCACGAGATTCATCATGTCCAAACCCATCACAACCTCTGCGGCCATCTTGGCATCGAAATTCAGTTGAAAGAACGACGTGCCATGTCCGGCATCTCGCGAGCGACCTCCTTGATGATTTGTGCTAGTGATGACATGTATTCCGTCACGGGTGATGGATTTCGTCATAGCTTCCACGATGTTTTCAATCTCTTTGGCCTCGAATGGGATACGTCGATCATTGAGAACATCGCAGATTCGCGTGTACGTCATATCTGGTACGACAAAAACTTTGCGGCCGTCACTGATCGTCTCCAAACTAGCAGGATCTATCAGCGATCTTGCGAGGGCACTATACGCCGGAAAGAACGGGTTCTGATCCAGACACTCCATCGTGACAACTGCTATGTAATCTGCGGGACTGGGGCAAAACACCTCCTGGATGCGACGCACCAATTCGTGCAACGGCATCTTCTTGAGATCGTCCACCACCATCTGCATCATGCGCTGGTTGTATTCGTCCAACGTTTCCGCCGAAGCATTGTGTTCCTCCCAAGGCAATCGGAAAGTATCCACGCATCCCATGACGGTTAACACGGCTCGATGGTAAGCCAGCATGCGAACCAATAATCGGATGTTATCGAGACGCCGACCCCGTCCTCCAAAGTTGGCATCCAGGTGCATGGCGTGAAATTCTTGGTCTATTACTTTGAACACCAGTTGTTCCATGTTATTCAGATAGTCGACATCCTCGAGAGTGCATCCCACGAACTCGAACATGGATACCAGCGAGATGGCGAGCATTTTGAAGATTTCAAAATGTCCGACCTTGAATTGATCCATGCGCTGAAAAATGTCCCCTACCGATAGTCGATCGCCGGTGGCCGTCGTGTTGTTGATGGTGTGAATGATCATGCGATCGCGCAGCGACGGACACAGAGGCAGATGATTAGCCAAAATGACGAACACGCAATCAAATATCACGTTTTGCACATTCTGGCGGACTTCTTTCTTGTCTTTGGACAGACCCCTGTACACGACACTCATACCCGAATCGTAAAAATTCTTCAACAGGGTCGCCTTCTCGCTGCCATCGGTCTTGAGAGAGCCCGATTTTTCACTATCACCCAATTCGTTTACGAATCCGACACCTTTACAATGCATGAGAGGATCTTCGTTCGTCGACTTAAGCGAGGCAGTGGTAACAGAATCCATCTCGCGAACCATTCCTTGAAGACACAATCCATCCGACTCGCTGATGCCGTGCAAGACAGACTTGGCAGCCGTTGTCTTCCCCGTCCCTGCTGGTCCCTGCCATCCGACCCATATGTTTTTTCCGTTGATGATGACACTTGACGTCACAGCCAATCGAAGCTCCGTCATCTCGACTTTTAGAGTAGCATGCGTTGCCGCAGAATACGACACGAAATCGTTGAGCAACAATCCGTCTGACATCTCGATCTCTGCATCGAATGGATTGTGAACGGCCAGTATGAATTGCCCGGTGAACTTGTTCTTTAGACTGTTCAAGTGTAGTCCGTGGAAATTGCGGTGCCCATCCAAAAGGGTTGCGTACGAACCAACAAGCGACTCCAAAGATTTACCCATGGGCTTGTTTGGGTTTCGCACGGCATCCTCGATCAACTTGCCGGTTAACTGGGCAAAAGGTCCTCGGTAGAGTTCCCTGACTTTGCTGCCCGGCTGGAACGCATCGGCTAATTTTTCCAAGAGGTTACGAATGTCTGTAAAAAGTGGATACTTGCGAGTAACGTCATCGATCATTCCTTGACGTTGAATCACGCCACCTTGTACGTCTGTTATATCTCTTACCCCTTCCTGTCTCATCATCAAGCTGTATGCTTCGAGCTGGCGTTGCATTTCATTCATATTGTCCAGCGATTTCTGGTCGATGAATTCTCCCAAGAACTGCATGCCCTTGTCGATCACGTCTTTGGGAAACACCATTGTATACAGTGGACTAGCGAAAG